ATTCTCCTATTTAACCATTTTTAACTTTGAGCTTATTCATCATGGCTTTTCAAAAATTGTTTTTCATTTTAGGACTTTCCACTGTGAAAGATGAGGAGTGAACTCTTTTTACCCCCAGACCCCACATCTACCATTCACACAAACACTCCCTCCCAACAGAGCCATACTGCAATTGCTTTGAGCAATAATTAGTAAATGCTGTTCACAGGTTGGCCATGCACAGACCTATAATTACTTCTCCTTCTCTAGAAAATGGTATTGCTCAGTATGTAATAACTGCCTTTTAACACATAAAAAAAAAATTTTGGGCCCAGCGTGGTAGCCTAACAGCTGAAGTCCTCTCCTTGCAGATGCCAGGATCCCATATGGTCACCGGTTCTAATCCCAGCGGACCCACTTCCCATCCAGCTCCCTGCTTGTAGCCTGGAAAAGCAGTCCAATGGCCCAAAGCCTTGAGACCCTGCACCCGTGGGGGAGACCAGGAAGAGGCTCTGGGCCCCTAGCTTCTGATTGGCTCAGCTCCAGCCGTTGCAGCCATTTGGGGAGTGAATCATTGGAGATAAGATCTTACTCTCTGTCTTTCCTCCTCTCTGTATATCTGCCTTTCCAATAAAAATAAAACTTAAAAAAAAAAAAGGATTTATTTTTATTGGAAAGGCAGATTTACAGAGAGAAGGAAACACAGAAAGATCCACTGGTTCACTCCCCAAGTGGCCACAACGGTCAGAGCCGGACCACGAGCTTCTTCTGTCTCCCACATGGGTATAGGGTTCCAAGGTTTTAGGCCATCTTCCTCTGCTTTCCCAGGCCACACGCAGGGAGCTGGATGGGAAGTGGAGCAGGTGGTTCACGACCTGGCACCCACATGGGATCCTGGGCACGAGCAAGGTGAGGATTTAGCCTCTAGGCTACCGCGCTGGGCCCAAGAGACACATTTTCAACCTCTGGACGCTCCTGCCCAGTGTCCTGGAACTTCATGATGAATCCTGATGGCCAGATGCCATCCTCTGTGTGAGAGACTTGACAGGCCCCAAGCTTCCAGAAGTACCTGCTTTCATCCTGTCATGTTTTGGCCTTTCCCTTCTAGGGCTCTGCCCTGTTTCCATTCTCCTTCTCCAACTGCTGCGAGGCTCCAAGATTCTACCCACTTTAATTAGGATTATTTACATTTTTCCAACTGATACTACAGCAGCTCCAATTATTTGGCATTAATTTTAGTTTCTTGTGCGATGCTCTGGCTAGCTTTGCTGCTTTGATTGCTTTATTTTTACGGTTTTCTTCAACATGTTTTTTGTTTTTTAAAGATGTATTTATTTTTATTGGAAAGGCAGACATACAGAGAGGAGGAGAGAGAGAGAGAGAGAAAGATCTTCCGTCCGATGATTCACTCCCCAAGTGGCCACAACATTTGGAAGCTGAGCCAATCTGAAGCCAGGAGCCTGGAGCTTCCTCCAGGTTTCCAACACGAATGCAGGGTCCCAAGGCTTTGGGCCATTGGACTGCTTTCCCAGGCCACAAGCAGGGAGCTGGATGGAATGCAGGGCCGCCGGGATTAGAACTGGCACCCATATGGAATCCTGGCACATGCAAGGCAAGGAACTTTAGCCACTAGGCTATTGTGCCGGGCCTTTCAACATGTTTAAATTCATATCATGAGCAAAGGCTTCATGGCTCCACTAAATTAAAAAAAAAAAAAAAAGAGTTCAATAAAAAGTGAAACTATCATAGTTCAGGAGCATTATGACAACTCACGTAATGGTTCAGTCAGTTACAGCGTTGCCTGTAATTCTAGCATCCCACAGAAGCACAGTTCCAGTCCCTGCAGCTCTACTTCAATCCACTTCCCTAATAACATATCTGAGAAACACAAGGAAATAGGGCCAAAGTGCTCTGCCACACATCTGGGAGACCCTGGATGGAGTTGCAGTCTCCTGGGCTCCAGATGGCCTTTGCTGACTACTGTGGCCATTTGGGGAGTGACCCAGCAGAAGACAGATTTGTCTCACCTCCCTCTCTTGACAGGACTGTCTTTCAAACTAAACAAAATACACACCTTAAAAGAGAAAAAAAAATCATAGTCCAGAAAAACAAGCAAAGTCTATCGACAATAATAATGATCAACCTCGCTTGTAAGTTTTAAAAGTCACAAAACCATTAAAACTATCATAACATATAATTCCCATCAGTTAGACAAGATCGAAAACAAAGAGTGACAAAACACTGTACAGGTGGTCAGTTTCATTTGGTGACAGCACCCCCAAAGCCTCCCATCTAGAACTAGCCAGATGCCCTAGAATTTTCTCCAGTCTGGCTTCTGCTAATGCTGTTTGAGCCAGGCTGCTGGGAACACTGAAGGAAAGGGCTGGGGGACCCTCGGCATTCAATCCAGAAACTTCCATTTAGCCGTGCAGCCCCCATTCTTCTGCGCCTAATGTTCCCAGCTTGGGCAGCAGGCCGGAGGAGCAGCTGGCCAGCTAACGAAGGAGGTGAGAGGCTCCAACAGTCTCCCACTGATCCTCCAGTCTCAGCCCAGGCTGCTCTGCGTTCCAGAAGGTCTTCGGTCTTGTGGGATTTCCTCCACCACAAAAACTGGGTTGTTTCCCAGCCTTCTCTATTATTGGCCTAGGATCCAGGCCCCTGGGGTCCTCCAATTCATCTGCTTTCCAGCATCTGACACGTTTTTACTGACTCCACTTCCTCTTCATCCTTGTTGGTTTATGCTATTAAAAACCTACCAACCAACCCACCCCTTCCTGTTACTGTGTTGGGGACTGACTTAGAAGCAATCAGACCTAAACATGTGTGCTGAACCTACCATGCATGATGAACGCCAATGTTCAAACTTCTCACAACTATGAGACGATTTGCTGAGAATGAGATGATCACAGTGGTAGCCAAGATGCTGAGTCTGGACCAAAAGGCAGATCACGGGGGCCTATCTCATGAGAAGTTGGTGACAACCCTGCAGTGGTAAAGATGACTGTCTCTTACAGATGCAGAAACCAAGAAACACGGAAGGCTTTATTAGAATGTATTACAAATGTTAATAATCAAGGCATGGAACATTAAAAAAATTTTTTTAAATCCTGATTTTCAGCAGATCTTGAAACATCAGACAACAGGGTACCCCTGGGTCTGCACCTGCCATGGTGACAATCCTCTGGAGATGAGTTGCAGCTCTCGCTGTCAGAGGGGGCAGGAGTCCTCCAGTGAGCCTCTGCCTCCAGCCAGCAACTTCTTAAAAAAAAAAAAAATGGAACTTGAGACAGGAAAGCAAGAAGTCTCTTTATTTGGAAAGACCAAATGAACTGCAGAACATGGGCAAAAACCCATCAGTTCAGAGAGCTGGATGTGCTCAGGGTTTGTCTTAAGTGGGCTGAGCAGTTCCTCCAGGACCAGGAGGGGACACAGAGCCACACGAGAATGGACACAGCTCGAGGCCTCCTCCCCAGACCCCGTCATGCTGCGTACCTGCGCCGGCCAGCACTGGTAGGACGCGTTCAACAGTGGACGGGTGGGCTCGGATGACAGGCAAGCCAGTCACTAAAACACCAACAAGGGCACGGTACGTGGTTTGGTTTGTCAAAGTCGAATCTGATCATCGACTCTCATGTCCCAGGTGAAGGCAGTAGGGACAGGATGTTCAGAGATTTACAAGTTTTTTTTTTTCTTCTTTCTAACATCCAAAGAGCCTTCCTTCATTCATTTTCCCTTTCCTCAAGTCAAACTGAGGGTTTCACTTCAAGTGGTAGTCCCAGGATCTTGTAACAAGCAGCAGTTCTTTAATCCCAGGAGCGCCGTAGCTTTCATCCGCTGGGTCACTGCGAGAGAAGCTACTTCTAGCCTTGGTTTTGCCAGCTACAAACACAAAGGCATCCGATGGGACAATATGGCTCTCTGTTCATCTCCTTGCTCCTTGCGTCTCTGAGGTCTTCCACGTAAGCTGCAATATCCCAACTGCTTTTCTCTGGTGCATGCACATTATGCTCTCTTGACATGCCCAGGATTTATAGCGAAAGATAACAGTAGAAGGCACGGAACTGGGTTCCCAAGGTGGAGTAAATTCTTCTGCTGGCTCAACAGGATTTCAACATCTTTCAAGTTACTTTTATTTTCCAGGGTTCTCCAAAAAGCATCTGCTTAGCTGCACAGCTGTGTCGCTCCAGCCATCTCGCGATATGAAGGCCATGGATTACAGGGTGGTGGCCTAAGCCCACCCAGGCAACAAGGCAGGTACTGGCTGGAGGCACCAGAACCTCAAAGAGTAAGTGCTATGACTAGGGCTGGTGCTGCTTTGGTGCCCAGGTCAGTGCATGCTCTGTGCCCAGGCACTGTGCCTGTGGGCTCTGGAGCACCCCCAGTGGAATCACTTTGCACCCTAAGGACATAATAAAGTAGCACTCAGGCAAGGGATGGTGGAGGGGGCTGACAAACTATGGCCCAAGGGGGCTGTCCCTTGTTTTTCTTTTGTAAATAAAGTTTTATTGGAACACCAGCCATACTCATTCATCTACATCTTGTCCACATCTGCTTTTTGTGCTCAGCAACAGGGTGGAGTGGACACAGCAGGGTGGAGTGGACGCAGGAGTCCACCACTCTGCACATGGTTGGCAAAGCCTGAAACCTTGACTACCTGGCCCTGGGCACCACGGGCTACCAATTCCTGCTAGAGACAAGATCGCAGAGAATGAGGAAATTCAGATGAATGGTCAGGGAACACAGATATATTACATGCATATACAATCTGTGTGTGAGAAAGAAGAATGCTTAAAGTAACTGCAACAAAAAAAACACAAACAACATGAGCTGGGGCGCTCTGAAGATACATACACAACTTAAGTATAGGCTTTGGTTTAACACACACACACACACACACACACACACACACACGGCAAGCCAGTTATTGATCTGGTATAAAAGAGGGTGATACATTCCAACTTCTAAGGGAATTTTTGGGTGGTTGAAGAAGTTTTTCAAGGGGAATTTTGACTTGTCTTTTTCTTTTCTCTCTCTCTCTCTCTTTTTTTTTTTCTCTCTTTACGGTCCACTGCAGACTTTGGAACCCAATGCTTGCACAAGTTCATGACACCATAGCACTCAAAACAGAAGTGCTGAAAGACCTCTTTCAATGAACAGGTAAGAACGGCTTTGTGTGTTATACTCTGCTTTTTTGGGGTGTTGAATTCAAACAAAAGAAAGAGGCTGCTCTAGCTTTGGGGCTTGATTAAAGCCGTCTGTTTTGTTCGTTGAAACCCAAGTAGTACCGACATTCCGTCTGAACTCCCTTTGAACGGGGAAAGCACATTCAATGAAGACAACTGTAGCCTGCACCCTGGGGAAATGGACTGGAATTAATGAGTGTTTATAGTTCTTGCCCTTTCACTCTCAAACATCTCCGTGAAACCTCAGGGGGCTGTTGCTGAAAGCGTCCAGCTGCAAATTACAAGAAAAATCAACAGGGCCTCAAGCAGAAAATCAGAAGACAGGAGTTGGGGAGCAGGGTCCATGCAAAACCCAGGCTGCTACGAGAGCTCCGAGGGATGCCTGGCCGAACTGTGAGTGGCATGGCACCTGAGTGACACTGCACATCTGCCGCCAAGATGCACCACACAGGTCCACGTGGCGTCAAGGCGTCCATGTTGCAAACCCCCTGTTCTTGCATGGCAAAAAATGTGGAGCCATGCCAGCTGCTGTGGGAGTCAGAGGTAGTCATTGTGTGCCTACAAACAGCACGTGTGTTTTGTGAAGCCCAAAGGACAAAGCAGGCTTAGAAACAGTCCATGGTGTCTGAAAAGCAGATGTGTCAACGGGAGGAACTTAAAAGGTCAGAAGGCTCTCAAAGGAAGCCTGGGTATTAAAAGACAAACAAAACTTCACTCAAAAACGCCAGGCATGCCCCCAAATGCTTTGAGAAAGAAGGCTTTACTGGAGGGGGGTGGAGGGGCCTGGAGATTTTAATCCAGCCTGAAATGGCTGGGGAGCAAAGCCCTCATATTGTCTATCCAAGGGAGGAAAAATACTTAAAAAAAAAAAAAAGAAAAAGGAAATAAAAACCACAGAATCTCAAAAACAACAGGTAAGTTCATTAGGTTGCCCTTTCAAAGCCCACTTCCCCAAAACACTGCCTAGGGGACAGCTGCGGTGTCTCTGCCAGAAGCAAAGACAATTTTAAAAGGAAACAAAACAACACTGAAATATAAAAGCTGATTGACCGCATGGTAAAAGAACCACCCTTCCTGCAGTAAGCCTTTTGTTTTCCCTCCTGGGCCTCCTGCTCAGGGACACGGTGCGAGTCATTCCTCCATCTGCGCCCAGGCCTCCTCCGCCTTCTGGTAGTACTGGTTGGCTAGGCGGCCCTTCATGGCTTCCATCGCTGCTTCGGCGGCCTGGGTGTACAGGTCCCCTGAAAGAGAGCCAAGTGAGATGCCAAGAGGTGAGCCAGCGACGGTCTCGGCCAGCCCAGAGGCCCCAACTCCTCCGGGAAGAACAGCCTGAGGTTCCGTTAGCAACTCAAACTACAGCTTTGGTTTTCTTCCTCCACCTGACGCCTGCGACACCAGCAGGTGGGTATGTGCTCCCAGCTGGCCAGTCCGAGCTCTCCACCGCACTGTTAGGCCCAGCTAATCGGGGCAGCCATCTTGATGACCATGATGACTGATTTCAACATGGGCACGTGCTGCAAGCAGTTCTGCGGAACAGACCCGCACCTTACGAAAGTAGAAGACATAAAAGTGCAGTTTCATCCAGAGAATAGGTTTTGTCCCCAAATGAAGGTGCGCCAAAGTCATTCTGGTTTTCAGAACATTTTGGATTTGGAAATTTCAAATAATTAGAGATTCTAGATTTAAAGGATTATTTGGTAGTTCCCAATATACAACCTGAAAACTTTTTAAACTTTGCTTCATCATGTACCTGTGAAATCAGGACTTGAGTATGTTTGTCACACAGCATGGACTAGACATCTGCTTCCCCCGGTCTGCACCCACAAGGTGCTTCTCCTTGAGGACAGGTCCGTGAGGAGGGAGGACAGCGAGATCCTAAGATCTAGAGTGGGGCCCTCAGTGCCCAGGGCCACCGGCTGTACCCTTCTTTTGTTTCTTGTAGGGTGGGGCTCATTGGATGATTTTTATTTATTTTGATGGAGGAGATTTCTTTCCCTGTTTTTTTATATCAGCACATACTACTTTATATTTCCCATTAAAAAAACAAAAACAAAAACAAGACAGAGGGGAGACACAGAGAGAGGAAGACACACAGAGAGATCTCCTGGCTCCTGGTTTCAGATTGGCTCAGCTTTGACTGTTGCAGCCTGGGGAGTGAACCAGCAGAGGGAAGACCTCTCTTGGTGACACCAGAGCCAGCCCTGCCTCCCTCCAGGATGAGCAGAAGCTGGATCGGGAGCCAGACGGCACCAGTTCTAGGTACTCTGATGTGGAGTGTGGCCTCGTAACAGCAGTTAGCAGTGGGAACTGCAGTTAGGAGCTGCAGGCAGGGGGTCAGGAGCCAATCCTGTGACGGTTAAAATCAGAATGTTCATCTGCAGACCAGGTTGTCCACAGAGGTCTCTCCTGGGCAAAGAGACACACCCTGAGGTCCTGACCTAATTACTTCTTGTGGAGTAGGGGCTGCATCCTGCCCCGCCCAGCCCCATCCCACCAGCCCCACCTGATTTCTGAGGGTCCTTGGCCAGGCCGCAGCCTCCGGCAAACAGCATCTCAGCCTCCCTGGCCAGCAGCGCATGGCGGGGCTCATCCTGCACGCCATCATACTCCCCGCCTTCGTCGCAGTCTGTCATCTCCAGCGCGGAGTTGTACCAGTGCAGGGCCTCCTGCCAGTCTCGGCACCTAGCCGGGAGAGGCAGAGGGAAGGAGAGATGTTAGGGTGAGTGGGGTGGAAAGGTGGAGCGCCATCTAGTGGAGAGGGCAAGTACAGGATCCCAGTAGGGCCACGGCCTCTGGTTCGTGATCCAGAGCACCCAAGGCCACCTCGTTGAAGGGTCACCTGTGTTCTGTGAGTTTACATACTTAAGACAACAGGCATATCGCTTCCTGGTCTAACCCAATTTTCCAAAAGGTAGATGCAGAGCATCTCGAGGAAGGGCCATTTTTCTAGACTGCATGAAAGCACCCCATGGGTGGGCATCAAGGTGACCAGGTGAAGTTGCCCTGTCACTTGGGTTTGAGATGGGTCTTGTCCCTTGGGCCCCTGCAGGAGTCTCCCACCTGTACCCATCTGGCCCCATCGCACACTTGGCTTGCACTGTCCACTGTGCCTGTTCCTCAGCCCAGCGCAGGGCTCACCCTTCCTCTGGCTCAGCCCTTCTATCTCCAGCTTTTCCTCCTGACACAGCTGATGTCTGGCCAAACCATCCTGAGTGCAGGTAGGTGCCAGGCAAAGCCACACAACCCAGAATAGAGGGCCAGCAGGGCAGAGGGCTCACTCCCTCTGGGCGAACGTGGAATGAACAATGATGAAGAGAACGGGCGGGGGGAGTGACACACATCACAGCTCACAGGCCTCCCAAGCCCTGGCAGGACTCACTGACCCTTCCCTGCGGTCACGCCTCCCCTGACTTCCGTCTGACCAACAAACCCTTACAGCCCCAGCTTTTAGGAGTTTTCATTCCAGTCCCTGGCCTCCAGTCCCAGCCCCCGCCAGTCTCCTCAGAGCTGGGTCTGCTGTGCCGCCCAGATACGCTGGCTCCTGCCTGCCCTTGGCTTTGCACCTGCCATCTCCAAGCTTTGGAATACTCTTCAGTCATTCCACACAGGCTCCTCACCACTCCAGTCTCTACCCAGATGTCACCTCATCAGAGACACCGTCCTCAAACAGCCTCTTTCTCACTATCACCACAATCTTCAATTCTCCCTGTCTACTGGGATCTCCCTCAGTTAGACCTGATGCCCCAAGACGATGGGCTTGGTCTATTTTATTTATTGCTGCAAACAAAGCAAGTTTCAGAAGTGTCTGTTGAATGAATCAACATAAACAAGCAAGGGTCCAGTGTTGCAGCACAGCCTGATAAACTGATGCCTGGGATGCCAGCATCTTATATGAGCACTGGTGTAAGTTCCAGCTGCTCCCCTTCTGATCCAGCTCCCTGCAAATGCACTGGGAAAGCAGCAGAAGATGGCCAAAATGCTTGGCCCCTGCACCTGCATGGGAAATCCAGATGGAGTTTAAGGGTCCTGGCTTCTGCCTGGCTCAGTTCTGGCTACTACAACAATTTGGGAAGTAAACCAGTGGATGGGGGATCTTTCTCTCACCTTACCCCACTGTCCACCTCCATCCTCCATCACTCTGCCTTTCAAATAAATAAAATCAATTTTCAACAAAAAGTGTGTGGTGTGTGGAAAATTGAACTAAAATATAAGTTCATTCTGGCTCAAACAAATTTTGAAGCCCATGCACAGAGTTTCCTCAATACCCACTTCCCATGAGCTTTTTGTAGATGCTGTACACTCCCATTTTACATCAGGAGCCAATGCAAATGAGGGCCCGTGGCTACTGGACTGGTACTGGGAGTCGGGTGGTTGCAGGCCGGAGCCCAAGGTCTGTCGTGACACCCCACCCCCAGAACCCAGGTTCCCACTGGCTCCACCTGAGTGACAGCCACAGTACCTTTCTGGGCTGAGGTTCTGGCCAGTGTCAAAAGCCCGAGCCACCAGGATCATGGACTGTCTGTCGCCAGCTTCTGCAGCCTTCAGTAAGTAGTCAAAGCCTTTTGTTTTATTCTCTTCCGTCTCCTGGCAATTCAAACCATGGGATGGGGTAGAAAAGGATGAAACTCCAGCGAGAGCACTCCGCTAACCTTATACCTATTAATGGGGGAACCAATGAAGCCCCTGGCTCCTGGCTTTGTCCTGGCCCAACCCTGACTCTTCTGGGAATCCAGGAAGAGCTAGTAAAGGGAAGAACTCTCTTCTCTCTCTGCCTTTCAAATACATAAAAACAAATTGACTTTAATAACTAAAAAACACTCTCTGGGGCGAGCATTGTGACACTGTTGGTAAAGCCACCACCTGCAAGGCCATCACCTCACACATGTGCCAGTTTGAGTCCTGGGCACTCCACTTCAGACCCAGCTGCCTGCGGACAGCTGGGAAAAAGAGGAGGAGGGCTCAAGTCTTTTGGCCCCTGCATCCATCCGTGTGGAAGAACTAGCAGAAGCTCCTAGCTTCAGCTTCAGACCAGCCCAGTTCTGGCCGTTGTGACCATTCAGAGAGTGAACCAGAGGATGGAAGATGTTCTTTTCTTCTGTCTCTATAACTCTTCAATAAATAAATAAATAAATAAATTTAAAAACGAGATTTCTAAATGTCACCAGGGGAAGGTGGGGTGGAGCCCCAGGTTGGGAACAGCCTGGCTTGTGCTGGCTTCGGTAGCACACACACTAAACCTGGAGGTACACAGATGAGCATGGCCCCTGTGCAAATGTGCAATGTGGGTGGGGGGAAGGGAGGCAGGTGAATGACCTTCAGGGAAGGCAGACGAAGGATCGTGGAGCCCTCAACTATGGCCTGGTTCCTGCGGGGTGCACACTGCTCCCTCACCTCCAGGGACACCTCGGCCAGAATGTGGTGGGGCAGCTGCGAGTACATGAGGCCCAGGCCCACAATGGCCTCCAGTTCGCCCAGGTCGGCTGCGTGCTCCAGATGGAAAACAGCTGACTCACGGTCCCACTCCTCGTCCCTGTCGCAGAATCGCCCACCTTCGTGGTAGCGCACCATGGCTAGATGGACCTGCCACACAGACAATGCTGTTGGTCTTGGCTGTCGGGGAGGCCAAAGCCATCTGCCTCCCCAGCCCGAGCTGCAGGAGGAAGCGAGGGCATCAGGGAGGGCAGCGGGCTAGTGCACAGGCCTCAGAAATGGGCAGCACCGATACCTTTCCCAGAACAGACTTCCCAATCTTCTTCTCCAGGTCCAGGGCGTTGAGCCTTTGCACTTCCAGGGCCACGGCTGAAGGCCTCGGCAAGTGGAGGCGGGAAGGGTTGAGTAGATTCCACTTCTCCACGCAGACCTGCCGGGAGAGGATGGGGCCAGGGATAGATGCGTCCACACGCTGTCAGTAGTCCCTGTACTCCACAGGAGCCTGGCCAGCAAGAGGGAGGGCAGCAAACCCTTACAGTGTCAGCTTTTATGAATTCTCACCATTCCAATTCTGCTGGCTCGCACCTGCTAAGAGATTGCTGCAAGAGGATGTGTGGAAGCAGTTAGGGGCTAGCTCAACTCAAACGAGCACCCATTTATCCACCGGCTCCAGTTATGTGGTTTCACCCTCCACCACTTCCTTTGCCTACTTCCCCATGCCAAACACATGCAGAGGGTGACTTGAGACTGCCCAGTAAGTCCACTTTGTCACCCTCTAGGAATGCCCACAGCGGCACGGGCGGCATTGACAGGTGTCTGCGGGAAATGGGCTGAGAATACACACACCGTCCGCAGAGTCCAGCGGCTGTGTGCACCCACGTGTACACCAACTACTCAACCATGCACACCGCGGCCCACACAGCACAGCAAGCAGCCCCCAATGCCCATGCTGCTGCCACTCAGCATGCCCACTCCACCCTGAGCTGAAAAGACCCTGACCCAGCTGGGCGATCATCCATGTTCCGAGACACTAAAGCCAGAGGTGGCCATGGAAGGCTCCTGTAGAGAGGGAGTGTGGAGGTCCAGGCTTGGACAGCAGGTAGAATTTTGGGAGGAATGCCTGGCTGGGAGACCTTGCTGGTACACATAGTGGTCAGTCAGAGGGCGTGCAGGGTACAGGGCTAGCCCTGTCTGGACTTGCCCAGTAAGAACCATCACCTAACATGTTGGTTGGGCACAGCTTTTGCAACTCCCCTGGAGCTTTCTGAAGTCCCTTGATATAAGATACATGTGAAACAGAAGTCAATTTCCTGTTTAAAGCTGAGTTCCCACTCCAAGACCTCACACAAGTAGAATGGGGATGAAGATGGCTGGTCTTCATCGGCAGCTGGGAGATGTGAGTTACGCAGTGACAGCACCCGGGGCCAGCACCTCAGCAGGTGAACTGCAGTAGGGTTCACCTCGCTCCAGGACATGGAGCCCCATCCACCAACCACGATCCCAACTCCTGCCTAGGACAGGCCTCTAGAATTGGCCCAGGGGATTCCACCTTGCAAAACCTTCCTTGTGTATGTGTACGGAGCAGAGCTGTATGGAGGGGCACAGGAGCAGAGTGTGGGAAAGGGAAGCGGCCGGGGTGCCGGGCAGGGGGGGCATTACCCGTCCGGTGCTGCCCAGGCTGTCTTCATCAGACTCATACCTCCGGTTCCCGTTGGAGTGGCCCTGCAGGGAGGCAGAGATGGAGTGATCTCAACAGGGCCCTTCCCAGGATCTGGCTCGGCCCACCCACATGACCCTTGGGCCTTCCTGGGGAGCTGCCCCAGCTCTCCTCCTGGTTCGTCACTTATCTGCCAAGCAGCAGGGAGGCTGGCTGACAGGCAGGAGGAAAGGGCTCGGGTGCGGGTCCTCTGGCCTTCCTTCCCTCGCCCTGGGTCAATAGCAGGAACTGACTCATGGGCACGGGCTCTGGGCACATAGTCACCGGGGCAGTGGGCCAGGCCCTTTCTCTGGCACGTACTCCCCCAAGTGTGTTTACTCCCAGTCACCAGACTGAGAGCAGAGGCCGCCCAGTGACACTGGTCTGTGCACGGGCTTGACTTTGGCACATGGTGACACATGCATACAGGTCGAGGCCATTGTCAGAGAGAGGCTGTGGGAGGGCTGGGCCAGTCGGTAACCCCGCGTGCTCTGCTCAGCAACCCAAGACCCAGGCTCAATACAGCGTCTCTCTGCCACTTTGTAACTTATACCCCAGCCCCCTTGCTGGTCCCATCACGCCATCTGCTGCCCTGCACTGATTAGTGTTGGGGTAATCTGGTCTATTAACTGACCCGTTGTGTTCTCGGGCCCCCCTCTAGTTTTTGATCCTTCTGGATTCACAAGGGATTCTACTTTTACATCTCAGTGTTTGGAGAGGCGAGTCCTTACGTGGTCTCGGGGCTCAGGGTCGTCCAGTTCGCTCCGCTTCTCACTGGGGTAGCCACTGTCGCCACTGTTCTCTGAGTCCTGTAGGGGAGAAGACGGTCAGAGCATCAGTGATCTTCTGAGTAGCTCATGGCAGTGCTGCATTTGGACACCCTGACCATTTTGTGTCCCTTCTGTCCCATCATGTCACTGCACACCTGTTTCCTCCTGCCCCTAGATGGTCAGAGGCTCAAAGAGCAGCACAAATACCAGCAAGGAGCCTGGGCTGTGAAGCCAGCCTCCCTGGGCCTGATGCTGGCCCTGCAACGTGCCAGTTAGGACATACCATGGATAGCTGTGGGCCTCTCCAGGCCTCCGCCCCTTGCTATGGGGACTCAAGACAGCACTGACTCAAAGCAGCCTGAAGATAAAGTGAGGTTACACCCTGAGTCTGTGGTGTATAGTTTATAATGAGCTTGTCCTGGGGTTGATGAGCTGCTGCAATAAGTAAAACCTGCCACCTGTGATGTCGGCATCCCATATGAATGCTGGTTCAAGTCCTGGCTGCTCCACTTCCAATCTAGGTTCCTGCTATGCACCTGGGAAGGCAGAAGACGGCCCAAGTGCTTGGGCCCCTGCTATCTATGAGGAAGACCTGGGTGCAGTTCCAGGCTCCTGACTTTGGCCTGGACCCACCCTGGCCATTGTGGCCATTTGGGGAACCAGAAGATTGGAGATCTCTCTGTCTCTCCTTCTCTCAGTGTAACTGCTTTTCAGATAAACATATAGCTTAGGCTCTGAGCAAATGAGACATTTCTGTGAAGTCTGTTTCACCAGAGTCTTCTGAAGTTTTCATTTGCCCCCACAGCAGACGCTGTGTGACTGCAACTCTGATGTCTTCCATTTCTTAGCAATTAATCAATATGGGGCCGCAGAAAATGAACAGTTAATGCAACCCCGGCGTGCCATGGCTGCTCCACATCTGTGACCCAGCCAGGGGTTCCACACACAAGTGTCCCCAGCCAAGCCAGGACTGAGCCTGGCATTCGCCAGAAAGTTGTACTTGAAGCTGGTGATTGAAGTTCCTCTCATCACTTCTGGGGCTGTGGGGACCCAGCTCCACCTGAAGAAAGCTCTGCCTTGGACCAGAAGTTGGGGTTCACCTGCACCCTCCTGACCAGTGCCACCCAGCAACCTCCTGGCGGTGCCCAGGGCAGACCTGGCTGGATCAAAGACTCAGCCTGGGTTCCCACTCGTCTCACCCCACCCCTTTGGGTTACAGCCACCCCTGCTCCCCCTCCCCACTCACCCGGTGGTTGTCCAGATGGTCCTGGTCTCTGGGTGCCATGTTATCTAGGTCACCGAACACCGGCCAATCTGCACAGATGGAAACAGAGAGAATGTCCTGGCTCTACTTCTGGAACAGTCGCAAGACCAACCTGTGGTCTGCATGAATTACACCTGCCAATAAGCCTCTATTGTTTATCATTATCATTATTACCACTATTATTTTTGAGAGGCCTGTGGAGAAGGGAACAAACAGCTCTCACCTTTTGGCTCATTCCCTAAACACCCGTGATGGATTAGGCTACGGCTGAGGCAGAGGCCCAGAAATTCCAGCCAGCCTCCTCACGCAGCTGATGGGAATCCAGTTACTGGGATCATCACCCACACTCTCCTGAAGTCTGCATTAAGATGAAGCTGAAGCTGAGAGACAGAACCAGCACCTGAACCCGGGTACCCCAGTATGGGATGTGGGAATCCCAAGCAGTGGTTTAATCTCTGCTCTTAAATCTAATTGTTAAATGGACAAAATGAAAGAGCAAAGCTTTTGGTGCTGGGACCACGGTTTCTCATGGAAAACTTATTGCAAATCTGCCAGCCAAGTGAGCTGTGAGGTGCAACTAGGCTTTAAAGACATTATTTTTATTTATTTGAATACCAAAGTGACAGAGGGGAAGGGAGAGACAGATCCTCAGAGAGGGAGAGACAGAAAGAAATTTTCTAACTGCTGATTCACTTCCCAAATGGCTGCAATGGCCAGGACTGGGCCAGGCCAGTCAGGAGCCTAGAGCTCCAGCTGGGTCTTCCATGTGGGTGGTAGGGGCCCATGGACTTGGTCCATTTCTGCTGCTTTCCCACCTAAATGCATTAGCATGGTGCTGGATTAGAAATAAAATAGCCAGGGGCCAGCCAGCATGGTGGCATAGCAAGCTAATCCTCTGCCTGGATGTCAGCTTCCCATATGGGCACCAGTACTTGTCCCACCTACTATACTTCCCATCCAGCTCCTGCTTGTGGCGTGGAAAAGCAGAGGAACATGGCCCAAAGCCCTAGGACCCAACATCTGGGAGACCTGGAAGAAGCTCTGGGTTCTTGGCTTCTGATCAGCTTAGCTCTGTATATCTGCCTTTCAAATAGATATAAATAAATTAAAAAAAAAAAAAAGGTGGAACATCCAGAACTCAAACCTGCATTCATACAGGATGCTGGCATTCACAGGCAGCATCTTAACCCACTGCACCACAATGGCGGCCCCGTACTGCACTTCTTCTTATGGTGCGCTAGCTAGCCCGTGTGTCAGCCCAAGTGGACAAGGCGCATTCATGAATGGAGGAGAACACCGCACATCTGGCCCAAGCAGCAGGTCAAGGCCGGGAGTCGCCCCGGCCACCCCTCTTTTCTGTGACCTAGCGTTCACATCATGCCAGGGTCAGAAACAACAACTCCATTTCCATCCTCGGATCTGTCCAGTGACGAGAGCAGGTTTCCCGGTGATGATCACCCTTCAGATTCCTGCGAACACCCTGCGACTTTCAAAAAAGCTGTTGAAAAATCAAAAATGCTCCAAAAAGAAATCTAAAATTTTGGCTTTAAGTTTCAGGTTTCAGGTGTTCATATTAGGGATGCTTAACCAGGAACTTCAATCCAAATATGCTGAAATCTAGAAAAATCTGAAATCTGAGATGCTTCTGGTCCAAACACTTTGCAGAAAAGGACACTCACTCGACCTATACCAGTTCTTTGTTAGTAATTTATTTGAGATTTATACACTATTGGAGCCAGTGCAGTGGCATAACGGGTAATACCGCCACTTGTGATGTCTGCTTCCCGTACGAGCACTGGTTCGTGTCCCGGCTGCTCTACTTCTGATCCACTCCCTGCTCACAGCCTGGGAAAAGCAAGGGAGGACGGCCCAAGCATCTAGATCCCTGTCACCCATGTGGGAGACCCAGAGCAAGCTCCTGTCTGATCTGACCCAGCACTGGTCATTGCAGCCATTGTGAGAATGAACCAGCAAGCAGAATATATTTCTCCTGCCTCTTCCATCGAGTTGGTACACCCCTGGCATTAGGGTTTTGTTAGTTTCAACAACAACAACAAAAACTGAAAGGGGTCTGGCACAATAGCCTAGTAGCTAAATCCTCACCTTACACATGCAAGCATCCTACATGGGTACCAGTTCGTGTCCTAGCTGCTCCACCTCCCATCCACCTCCCTGCTTGTGCTCCTGGAAAGTAGTCAAGGATGGCTCAAAACCTTGGGACCCTGCACCTGCGTGGGAGACCCTGAAGAAGCTCCTGGCTCTTGCCTTTAGATTGGCTAAGCTCTAGCTATTGGGGCCACTTGGAGAGTGACCCAGCAGATACGAGATCTTCCTCTCTGTCTCTCCTTCTTTCTGTATATCTGCCTTTCCAATAAAAATAAATAAATCTTAAAAAAAATTAAAAAGTTAATTCAGAGAAGTTCTCTATAAAACCATCTAGGCCACGAGCCTTTGTGGTTAGCATGACTGATTTTCTAACATAAAAGAAAGCCAGTTTATCTCTGCTCTGCCTGGTGCCTGCGCCCTCCCTGGCCAGCACCCAGGGCCCTCACACTCACGGAGGTGCTCCAGCTTCTGGCTGTGCGGCGTGGCGGAGGACGGGGAGGAAGGGAGCGAGTCGGAGGTCACATCACTCATGTTCTCATCCCCAGAGTTCTCGGAGAGGCGAAGGAGCAGAGGAGGCCGGCTCCCAGACAGGGTCCTGACCCGGGGGCTCCCACACTTTTCCTCTGTGCCCCTTAAGATGGTCTTGGCTGATTGCTGTGGACCGTAATAGGAACACTTGTGTCACACTGGTACCCCCTGAGTGGAACCTCCCTCCAGTCCTGAGGCCCCTTCATCATGGCTCCTGATTCAGGGCAGACCCAAACCTAGGAAGACGTTGGCAGGGAGTATACCCAAGGCTTCCAAGGAGAGGCAGATGGGATGAAGCTCAAAGGGTCCGACAGTCAGCGTTGCCAAACACACTGACCACTCTATAGCTCTGAGCTGGCATCTCATAAAGTTCAGATCCCAAGCTGGTCCCTGCCAACACTGTTTTGTCCAGGGAGTGGACGCAGGCTGGGCATGGCAGGAGGCTGGGAGAGCCAGGTCTGAGCCCAGTCACTCATCACTTCACACACAGACACAGCATGCACCTCCTCTCATTGTCTCTTCCTGCCCGTTGTCCTCACTAATGGTCTATCACAGGGACCCTCAGTGTGTTGGGGCACAGTGGGAACGGATGCCACTGCAGGGCTTGGCTCCCATCACACAGCACAGAAGGGCTTGCTGGCTACTCGGGTGACAGAAGGGGCTGCCAGCACCCACCAGCAGCTTGGTGTTCTGGTTCACCGCATCCTGCTCCCGTGGCGAGAGGTCAAAGGGCGCGAGGCCCATGCTCTTACAAATCCGGTTGCAGGCGTGAGAGTGGAAGAAGAGGGCCATGCCCCGCACACCTGTGGGCAGAAAGGGGTGTCTGGAGTGTTTGCAGAGAAGGTGGCGCTACTGGGCTTCAGGGAGCTGCCCAGAGCAGGCACAATGCATGCTAGGCTAGAAGGGTCAGAAAACCCCAGCTCCAACCTCAGTCACCTTGGTGTCACCTCAGCTGTTGCCTTGGTGTCCAAAGAGCCCTGAGACTTTGGGGGCAGGAAATGGGGGAAGGGGTACAGGGCAGGGAGCACCTCGGTCTTCATACAAACAGGGTGGTTTCCCCACCCACCTAGGTTGCCATCTCCAAAGTCAGTGCCCGTTTCCGTGTGGATCTGTGGGTCAGTGTAGAGGTCGCCAACACCCTGGATGTCCACTACAATCAGCTGATGGCCGGAGCGCTCGAACGTGAAGTGGCTGAAGGCCTGTGAAGTGCACGGGGGGGGGAGGGGAGAGCAGGGAAGAACAAGGTGCTTGTGAGACTGTGGACTGTGGGCGGATGTTGGCCAGCCACCGGGTTGGGGACCAGCCCCCCAACTATGCCCACACCAGGGTTGGGGCGCTGGCTTTCTCCCAAGGAGCAGCTGTGAGGAGATGATAAAGGAGACCTACTGACAGGATGGGACCTTGGCTCTGCTAACAGAAGCTGGCCCAGGGGGACAGAGGTTCTGATGCAGGCATCCCCTTGGATGGCCCTCAAAGGGTCTGAGGGTCCTCTAATGGATATGAGACCCCATACTCACAGGGACCCTCCTCCTTAGCTGAACTCCCACCAAGGAAAGCCCAGGTGGGTGGAGGGTGCAGTGTGGACACCCAGGGCCTCACCTGCGGGGTCAGGCGGATGTTGTCATCGCGGACGAAGCCAGAGTTGGAGTTGTACTTGATGTACTTCCCCTCGATGTAGTGCTCCAGGTGGAAGAGGGGCTGGCCTGGCCGCTCCTTCAACTCAATGATGCACATCTGCATGATGTCCACCTGGGGAGAAGGGGAGTGGGGTCATGTAGGAGGACATCGTGACCCTAGAAGGTCAGCGAGCTCAGGGTTACAGTTGATTGGATAATATTTGTATGAGAACAACTGAATGAATGCCTTTTGTATGACTGGATATCCTTTGCATGAGAACTGAATGGATACCTTTTGTGTACCTGATTGGATATTTTTGTATAAGAACAGTTGAGTGGATAGCATGGTATGAGAACACTTGGTTGAATATACAAGACAAAAGGAGTTCTAAACCAAAGTACAGATGGTGTTGTTTTTTTTTTAAGATTTATTTATTTTTATTGGAAAGGTGGATATACAGAGAGGAGGAGAGACAAAGAGGAAGATCTTCCATCGGATGGTTCACTCCCTAAGTGTACGCAACAGCTGGAGCTGAGCCAATCTGAAGCCAGGAGCCAGGAACTTCTTCCAGGTCTCCCATGTGGGTGCAGAGTCCCAAAGCTTTGGGCCGTCCTTGACTGCTTTCCCAGGCCACAAGCAGGGAGGTGGATGGGAAGCAGGGCTGCCAGGATTAGAACAAGCATTCATATGGGATCCCGGCCGGGATGGGTTTTATTGATAAGCTTAATACCTCCACCCTTATCCTATATGACCCTCAGTACATAAAGTCTGATGCCCCTAATAAATTTTGACTTTTGACCATCCGTCAGAGTCTACGCATGTTATTATTGGCTCCGTGCACCAACTCCATCGCTGCAGGACAGTGACAGAGTCAAATGGAAGGGCAGAGCCTAGGAGATTCCTATCTTTGCCTGGGCTCAGAGCCTAGCTCCCACACTTACTAGCTCCCTCAGCCAGGCGCTGCCGATGGCCCCCAGAATCCATGCTCTCCTCTTTCCTTTTAGAATAAAAACCCCATCCCTGAATTTGAACAAAATCTACAGCCTGCTAGCATGGCCTATAAGGTGGACTACCTGTAAGCCACACCTGGTCCCAGGATCCATGGCAAATATGGAAGGCCGCAGAGCAACAAGAAGGAACCACGCCTCTGGCTAACTTCAAGGGGACGTGGCTCCAGCCCATTTCATAATGTGGGTCTGGACTTGAGCCAGAAAAAAAACCACCTCACACCAGCGTGTGTGTGTGTGTGTGTGTGTGTGTGTGTGTGTGTGTGTGTGTTTGCCTGCTAGGCAGGCCAGTCTCTGCCTTATACTAACAAACACTGGGAAACTGGACAATTTACTGCAGTTCTGTGTCTCAGTTTCCCTAACTATGAAAAATGGATTCCAGAATTAAGTACTGGAAATAAAAACTAAAAAAAAAAAAAAAAGAAAAAAAGAAAAATGGAGTCAAAGTGCAAAGGATAAATCTGCTGATCGCAGAAGTTGGCCAGCGCTTGGTGATGTTACAATCAGTAGTTCCAGGCTTCTGGCTTTGATCTGACCCCGCCCTAGCCATTTCAGCCATTTGGGGAGTAACAGGGATGCAAGATTCCTCTCTCTCTTCCTCTCTCTCTTCCTCTCTATCATTTTGTCTTTCAAATCTTTTTTTTTTTTTAAAGGTCTTGAGACAGGAACAAGGTCAGGGAGGAAAAGAAAGAAGAGGCCAGAGTGTAGCCAATTACTAAGACGGACACAGCTCCTCGTGTCCACCCCAAGGGGGTTTAATCAAGGGTCCTAAACAGCAGGACCTCAATACATCCTGCTGGCTCCCGGGAAATACGGTTTTCCTGAGGCGCCCAGGAACCAGCACCTGGCAGCAGCTGGTGGGCACTCCAACAGCAGGAAGCTAAGCTGTGAAGTCAGGTAGGACAGAAGTGTGGGGCACTGGAGAAATTCTACCCAACAGTCTTGGGCTCGCAGGCAGCCTGGAAAGCCTGGAGCCCTGGCTCCAGCCCTGCTGGGTTACATAGGTCACTGAACCTCTCTGAGCCCTAGGTCCCCCAGGGAGTGGACACAGCAGCCATTCCCCACTTCTTAGAAAGCCATCTAAGCCATGCACATGCGTGAGATGTGCATGGAATGCCTACATTCCTGGCTTTAAAAGGTAGGCTGCGGGCCCGGCGCGGTGGCGCAAGTGGTTAAGTCCTCGCCTTGCACGCCCGGGATCCCATATGGGCGCCGGTTCTAATCCCGGCAGCCCCGCTTCCCTTCCAGCTCCCTGCCTGTGGCCTGGGAAAGCAGTTGAGGACGGCCCAAAGCTTTGGGACCCTGCACCCGCGTGGGAGACCCGGAAGAGGCTCCTGGCTTCGGATCGGCATAGTATCGGCCCGTTGCGGCTCACTAAAGCTTTGGGACCCTGCACCCGCGTGGGAGACCCGGAAGAGGCTCCTGGCTTCGGATCGGCATAGTATCGGCCCGTTGCGGCTCACTTGGGGAGTGAATCATCGGATGGAAGATCTTCCTCTCTGTCTCTCCTCTCTGTATATCCGCCTTTCCAATAAAAAATAATAAAAAATAAATCTTTAAAAAGGTAGGCTGCGACCTATGCCTGGCAAATTTGCATATTCTTACTCCCCTGGCCGTTGTGATTAGCTCCGGCAATAGGCATCTGGCCCAGTCCAAGCCCATGAAACCTAGTTCTAACACTCTTAAGGGAACTTCGGGGAAAACAGGTGTTGTCCTTGCAACCAACCAAGTTGCTGAGAAGACGAGCAGGGAGCCTGTCCAGGGACTGACATGTCTCCACAAGAGTGGAGAGTGACGCCAACACAGAACATCCGAGCTAGGGCTGGAGGAAGATTTCCGGCAACCTCAGGTGGGTTCTGGATTCAGCCATGCCTGCAAGCAGCACGGTTTTCTGGTTGCATGAAACAATGATTTCTCTTTCTAGGTTAAGTCAGTGTGACTGGATTTCTGTCATCTGCCCCACCACCCCCCCCAAAAAAAACCCGAATGGATTCCATCTACAAATAGGGATTAAAAAAACACCATGAGCTCAGAGCTCTGCTTTAGAGAATGAATGACTCTCCCTAGAGAGATCATGTGGCCTGCCACACTCAATAAGTCAGGGAATGGCACCAGCTGGAGGAAGTTGGTGACTGGCACGGCTGTGCCCTGCTGTCCTGGCGTGGCAGGTTCTGGGTAGGGGAGCCACGCACCTGCTTGGGGGGCTTGTGCCGGTTATATTCCTCCCCCCACAGCTTGGCCTCCATCTGCAGACGCACATCTTCAAAGTACACGTCCCTGTCCACAGGCTCGATGTAGCGTTTGGCCACGTAGTTGGAAGCCCCCTTCCACTGCTGGGTGTGCAGGAAGTTGGAGAGCTTCTTCCTGGGGAGAGAACGGGCAGCGGTTTCTGCCTGGGAACCCAATCCCAGCCCGACTAGGCAGAGTCAGGGAAAAGATGGCAGGAGGTAGGAGGGCCTTTCTTGCTCCATTGATTCTTTAAACAGCTGGGAGGGGCCAGCAGAGGGTCACTGCTAAACGTGTCCTTGCCCCATTTCTCTTGACCTCCAAACATCAAGAGTAGAGGCTACTGGCATATCTTCTTCTTCCTGAGCCCCAGGATACAGTCCAAGGGAATCCGGGTGGAGAATGAACTTGAACTACAAGAAGACCCCCATCTCCAAACCTTGACCCCAAATGTTCCAAAGCCCCTGCTCCTCAGTGACTGGGGGAGTCTGGGCAGGGCTCCCCCAAGTGCGAGGCAGAGTCACTTACGTCCTGAAGCACTCCCTCATCGCTCCACGGCCGAAGGGCTGAAAGACAAGGCACAGACACCGGTGGGCCCCACTGGGTGGAGCGGTTCCCCTCCAACCACCAAATCGTTGTCCCAGACCTCATGTCAGTCTTAAAACTTCCGGGGCATCCTTCCCCCTCTGCAGCCCAGCACCAAAGCTGGATGGGTACTACAACCTAAAGCTCCGGGACACTGGGGTGTGGAGGGCAGGGACTGTGCATGTTGGGAGGTGTTTCTGTAGCCTTGTCTGCAACAGACAAAAAGTGGAAACTACCCCAAGAGTCCATGGACAACAAACTCACTCAATCAACCTAGTCTATACACTCTGTGAAATACTACATAGCAATGAGAGGGAATGCAAACCACAGAGCAAAGAGGATGGATCCAAAAAACAACGAACTGGGGCAAACGTTCAGCCAAGGATGAAGACGTCCACCTCCCACTCTGGGGGACCTGGGTGTGAGCAGCGGCCCCAGCTCCTGACGCCAGCTTCCTGCTAATGCACACCATGGGAGGTGGTGCTGACAGCTCAAGAAATTGGCTCCTTGACACCTACATGGGACACCTGGATTGAGTCCCCAGCTCCTGGCTTTGGTCTCAGTCCTGGCTACTGCAGGCATTTGGCAGCTACTACCCTGTGTGGTCTGTCTCTGTAGCTTTCAAATAAAATTAAAATAAATATATAAAAGTTTAAAAAATAAAGAACAGTGTCCCAGGCCTGGGGAGCTGAGGGAATGGTAGAGTGATTATAACAGACAAAGGATTCATCTGGGGAGGAGCAAAATGTTCTTAAATAGGGTTCGGACTGGCCTGACCCCTCAGTTATGGGCACCAGCTGCCCTGGTGCAACATGGCAAGGGCCCCACTGCTCTGTGAATATACTGAAAACCACTGAATTGAACATTTCAAGTAGGTGAGCTGTATGGTATGTGAATTAGAACTCAATACACTGGTCATAAAAATGCAATAAGGAAGTAAAATGGATCCCCAAAGTTCAAATAATAAACGGGAAGGGAGGGTACGCACACTAGAATCAGCCTGAGGTCTGCCTCCTACCTTCAGAGCCCCCGGAGCCCCAGGGCCCTGCTCACCTGACACGCCATCTTGATGAAAACTTCATCTTGGAGCCACTCCCCAGTGACAGCGTTGTACCTGCAAGGACGACAGCCCACCCCGGGGAACAGCCTTGTGATGCGGTGCTGTCCCCGACCTAGGCTCCCAGGGGAAAGTGGGATATGGCCCGTCTCTGCCCCACCCCCATTTACTGGGCTGTGAACACACCCGCCAGCCCCGTTCAGCTCCTCTCCACCCTCCCTTCCCGATTTGTAGCACAGCCCTGGTGCTTGGTGCACTGCCCTCTGCAGGCTCTTCTGCATCCAGCTCCCCCCAGGCCTGTGACATGGTGAATGCAGACCCAGATCTGTCTTGCCAATGACCAGGCCTGGCAATGGGCAGAGGTTTAATACACAAATCTGGGTGAACAAATGAATGCCCAACATCCTCATGCTAACTGGTCTACGTCACAAATGGTGCACCCCAGAGAGGCAATGGGGCCCTCAAAACCTCACTAAATATCCAGGAAGTAACAGCTGCCCTGGTGCAAGCCAGGGTGGGGAAGGCCTGCCTGTGTGTCAACCAGGATGGTGCTGCTGGGTGCACACCCAAGGCAGACAGGGGTGGGAAAGTTCTGGAACATTTCCATCTCTCCTCTCCCTCAGAAAAAAAAAAAAACCTGTCCCCGGTCCTGCTGGGGCCTCTAACAAGTTTTCCCAGTGGGAAAGTTCTTTAGCCTGGTGAACCCTCAAAGCCTAGAACTCTCCCCAGGGCTGAGGTGTTCTTAGCTCTCTTCCCTGGCCCACTCTCAGCTGGGAAAAATTCCAGAACATTTCCAGCCCCGGGTGTCAATGGAGATGAGGTTCCTGGGCGCAGAGGGAGAAGGTTCTTTGGGGTGCACACCTGCCTGCAGCCAGTCCACGGCAAGCTCTGTGCCCAGGAAATAACAGCAAGGACTGCTACTATTATCACATAGAGACCAAGGTAAAGCAAATCATGCTGCCTCCCCTCCAAACCGAGAGGGTCCTAAAAGTTGAGGCAGGCAGCAGGGGACAGATACACAACACCACAAGCACCCTGCTTGGCATGCACAGCCACCAAACAGTAAGAGCAGGAGGTACTCAGAGCCCACCCAGCTCACTTCACTCCACCTTCCCCTGAGCAGCTGCTGTGGTTACTGTCCTCATGTTCCAGACAGGCAACGTGAGGCTTAGTGAGGTAAGGCAGCCTGCCCAAGGGGCACCAACACAGGTTGCTTCAAACAAGTGCCATAGTCATCAGCCTGGGTCCGACCCGCGGGCACATAAAACCTGTCCCCAGCAAGGGCCAGCTTGTACCAGAAATCTCTAAAAGCCGATCATGGAAATGAAAATAGGTAGGCACCTGTTAGGGAATCTCAGGAGATCTTAAGCTAGAGATGCCCGGTCTCCACCACTGGCAGCCAGGGCAAGAGGAGTCGGCCACCTTGGGCAACAGAGGGGCCAGCCGTCCTGGTTTGAGTTCCCAGCTGAGCCTGGGGACACATAGAGCCAGTCTGCCATATGGATCCTATTTTCCCAGCCTGACGGTCCCTAGGGGCTGGCTGTTGGCCGGGTGACCTCAGCCTGGTAGCCGTGTGTCAACAGCTAGCTGTCACCCAACTCTGGCAGTGGAGAGAACAGAGCTCCGAACGCCCCCTGGGGGACTCCCACAGGCTGACCCTGGCTGTGGGGAACAGACCAAAGATCTAGGAGTGGGGCAGGAGCAGTAATGTAGGGGGCAGTTGTATGGCACAGCAGTTTAAATGTTGCTTAGGGGGCTGGTGTTGCAGCGCAGTAGGTGAGTCTGCACCTGCAGCACCAGCCTCCCGTAAAGGTTCAAGTGCTGGCTTATCCACTTCCGATCCAGGTCCCTCCTAATGCACCTGGGAAAGCAGCCAAAGATGCCGTCCCCCACACCCACATGGGCCATTGCCACCCACATGGAAGGCTTGGATGAAGCTCTAGGCTCCCGGCTTTGGCCTGGCCGAGCTGGGGCTTGGCAGCGGCTTTAGGAGTGAACTTGAGGATAGAGGATCTCTCTTGTTTCTTCCTCTCTTCCTGTGTCACTAACTTTTTTATCCCCCAAGATTTGTTTGTTTTTTCACTTAGATGGCAGATTCACAAGAGAGAGAAGGTCTTCGATTCATGGGTTCACTCCCCAAAAGGCTGCAATAGCTGGAACTTTGCTGATCTGAATCCAGGAGCCAGGAGATTCTTCCAGGTCTCCCACATGGGTGCAAGGCTTTGGGCGATGGTTTTGCTGATTTCCCAGGCCATAAACAGAGAGCTGGATGGGAAATGGAGCAGTTGGGACATAAACCAGTGCCTATATGGGATGCCAACATCACAGGGTGGAGGACTAGCCTGCTGTGCCCTTTGCTGGCCCCAAACAAATCTTAAAACAAAAAACAAAACCCAAGATGCTGCTCAGAGCATATGAGGGCGCACAGGTTCAAGTCCCGACTCAGCTTTGGATCCCAGCTTCCTTCTAATGTGTACCCTGGAGGAGGCAGCCATCATAGTTAGGTCCCTATTGCCCTCAAAGGAGACCCAACTGAGGTCCAGGCTTCCCGCCCCTCCCAATTACAGACATTTGGGGAGTGAAGTAGCAGATGGAAGAGATCTCTCTGTCTTTCAAACAAACAACAACAACAAAAAGTCCTCCACAGAGGGAGGGGTAAGTAACTAGGTCTCACTAGTGAAATACATACAAAAGTGATGCTGTTTCCTGGGCCACAAGCTCCTGGGAGCGGAGCAGGGATCGTGTGCTGAGGCCCTGCAGCCCCAGGACAGGAGCAGAGCAGGGATCGTGTGCTGAGACCCTGCAGCCCCAGGACAGCAGTGGAGCAGGGGCCATGTGCTGAGGCCCTGCAGCCCCAGGACAGGAGCAGAGCAGGGGCCGTGTGCTGAGGACCTGCAGCCCCAGGACAGGAGCGGAGCAGGGGCCATGTGCTGAGGCCCTGCAGCCCCAGGACAGAAGCGGCCTGGATTCCCAAGCTGCCCCTGCACGGAGCCCCAGAGGAGGCTGCTCCTGTGGCACCGCTCAGCCCTGCCTGGCTGCTGTGCACCCTGGAGGGACCCTGAGATGAGACTTAATGCCTTCCACATTCACGGACACGCAGGCAGCAGCTGCTGTGCCACCAAACTGAGTATCCATATCCCAAATGCTGGAAACTGGATTTTAGAATATCTGCATAGAATCCACTGTTTCAGCATCCCTAATGCAAGAATCTGAAATCTGAAATGTCTCCATATCTGAACTGTGCCGAGTGTCATGTGTGTAATCTGAAAGTTCCAGATTTGGGAGCATTTCTGACAAGGGGCTTAGGGATGCTCAAACTGTAGCTCTCCTTCCTCCTTGTCCCCCAGAGGACACTTGAGCCTTGCTGACTGTAGGCGGGAGCAGCACCCATGCGGCCAGGGGCTCCTCGAGGCCCCCAGCTAGGCTGCTGACCTGTGGCGAGTGGCACGCTCGGTGGCGATGTCTTCCAGGTGGAACTCGGCCCAGGGGTCCGGCATGTGCTTGGCCTTCTCGATCGCATGCTTCCAGGCTTCCTGCAGAAGCAAAAGGGAGTGTGAGGTCCAGCCCAGACGCAGCCCGGCCTGTTCCCACAGTGGCTCTTTCCGCTGGAGAAGTAGACGGCAGCGTTGAACAAGAGACACTTTCAGGAATGCAGCTCCCCAAAGACCCTCCTTGCCCTTGGGGACACTGACTTCATTTGGGCAGAAGTGACGCAGCTTTACTACACCCCACTTCGCCTGTGATCCCAGTAAGCATGAGCACCAAGGACCACTCTCCCTGCCCCTGCACCCTGCGCTCGGATTGCAGACACCTTCCCAAGTTTGGACCTCTCCCAGCAAGTGCGGTTGGGATGAGGGGTAGCAGGCAACCACGCGTACCATCAGTTGCACACCACCCTCTCCCATGAGGCAATCCGGCAAGGCACTAGAATGACCAAAGAAGTGAGTGTTGGGATGCCACACGCTATGGAATACTCACCCATACTCCCTACCAGATTGCCAGGGTTCCAGTCCTGCCTCCACTTCCAGCGGCACGGAAGGGGATGGAGGGTGGACTGGACATTGACTGGATGCAGCAGGCCCACGGCAGTAGCTTTAAGACAGCAGGGAGCTCAAGGGACAACGATGTCGTATCTCCTTGCACCCCCACAGGCACCCCTCAGGCAGCCCAACTGCACAGCTCATCCCAGGCCCAGCCAGCATCTACCCACCAGGGGTCCTGCTCAAGGCAGAGAAGGCCCAGGCAGAGGAGCTGGGTCTTACAGGATACTTGCAAGGTCTGAGGCTCCCTGCTGAGGCACTTTGCTTTCTGCAAAACTCAGGGAGATGAAGCCCATTTTGTCTTCTTCTAATGTGGCAGCTGGTTTAGGCTCAATGAAACAAACTCAAAGATATCAAAGACAAAGCAGAGTCAGATCCACCACGTGCCATCTACCCAGACTGCATTTTTACTGTAGGATCAGAACCATATTAGAAGAGCAAGGGGAGTTAAAAACTTTCCTAGAGGGTGACTACTGGCATGGTGGTTAAGCCTCCATTTGGAAAGCTCACAATTAAATACATTTTAAAATGTAATCTTTGAAGCTGTGGCTTGATGCCTGCAGTGCTGGCAGGAAGCTGGGGTCCCAGGCTGCAGCAGGCAGACAAACCCAGACACTCCGGCGTGGGACACAGGAAGCTTAGCCACAAGGCTAAACACTGCCAGCCCCACAGACACGCACTCAAGTGCAGCGAGACTGTGTCACAAATTCTGCCCTGCAGCTTCTTCCACTCAACTTACTATGGGTTTGGGGTGCCTTCCCACGCCACTGTACAGACTGCCTGCTAGCCTCACTTCCTTTCTGGGGTTGCACATACATAACGCCTAAGTGTTCCTGCATGTACAGGTGCCCGACCTGCGGCCGATGTGAACCGGGTAGTCACCAACATTTCTGAGCACAAGCTGTGTCCCAGACACATCCTCATGTCAGTAGCTTTGCACATTTCTTCAAGATCAGACTTATTCTGCAGAAATGTGATTGACTCTGAACTCTGGTGCTCCTGAGTCACAAGCAGCAGCAAGTCACAGACGTTTTGTAACTCAGCCATTACATCAAGTCATTGTAAAACCTGCAAGTTAGTTCCAACCTGCCTTAACGCTTGCCTAATACTCCAGCGCCACAAGCTTGTCATCGCTGGTGTAAGCCTCTGAACTTGTCACTGATTAATCCCACGGCAGACAGACTGACAGCCCAGACACTCCCTGTATTTCCAGCCTGGCACTTCAGTGCCAGCCTCCTCTTGTATATGAGCTGCTGGGAATGATAAGGATGGTGCTAGAACCTGCAGAGGAGGGAGGGGTAACAGCGGCTCCTCTGAGCTTGTCCACACAGGTATTCAGACCCCCCATCTGGGAGGCCTGTCTCCACACTGCCTGAGCCACCCAGCCCCGGAGGCCGTGTGCACACAGAGGATTATCAGCAGAAGTCAGTTCTTGGCTGCATGCCCTGGCACTGGACCAGGAAACAGCCAAGAAAGAAAGTACTCGAATTTCAGAATTAGGTGGTGTGTGCTTCACAGAGCTAAGATTACACTGGTTCCAAAGTCAGAAAAGACTCGTGTCAGACTAGCAATAAGTCGGTTTAATGCTTTTTAATTAGTTAATTATTTAATTTATTTGAGAGAGAGAGAGAGACAAAAGGAGAGAGAGAGCATAACCATCCCCTGGTTGAACCGTTATTGCCATCACCTACCCAACTGGGGTTTGGATAACACTTGCTGCTCTTCCCCAGAGGGTCAAAGCTTGGTCCTCAGTGTTGGCTGAGACAGGGGCACACTTTTAGGGGTACAGTCAAGTAGAAAGGGATCAGCTCATGGGGGCACCACTCTTATAGATGGAACAAGGCTGTCTGGACAAACTCAGATCTGAGCTTGGAGCAGGCCTGTGCCAATGAGCTGGGGCTCCTGAGACGGGATAAGTCATGAGAGAGCTAGTTAGGAAGCAGGTTAGTTTCCTTCCCATCTGTCAGATACTTGTCTTCCTGCCTTCCTTTCCTCTTTCCCTCCATAAGATTCATTTATTTGAATGGTAAAGTTATAGAGAGAAAGAGCCACACAGATCATCCACCTGCTGATTCACTCCCCAAGTGACTATAATGGCTGGGGCTGGGCCACGATGAAGCCAGGAACCCTGGATGGAGATATGGGTGACAGGAACCCAAGCATTTAGGCCATCTTGTACTGCCTTTCAAAGGAGTTGGGTTGGAAGAAGAAGAGCAGCCAAAGTCTTAAACTGGCACCCATATGGGTTGCTAGTGACGCAGGTGGCAGCAGAACCTGCTGAGGCCCAACGCTGCCCTGGACACACACTCTTCTGCACACGATGGCTTCCCTTCGGCTTTTCCAGCATGAGCTGACACAGAGTAAGTTCCACACCAGAAGCCACACCATTCCATTACACCTCCTGAACTGTAAGGGAAATAAACTTCTTTTCTTCATAAACCACTCCGTCTCTCATATGTCATTATAGCAGCAAAAAAACAGCCGAATGGCGGCAAAGCACTGCATACAGCAGCTTAGGCCACCTCTTGGGATGTCTACATCCTGTATTGGAGTGCTGGGTCGAGACCCAGCTGCTCTGCTTCCAATCCAGCTCTGTTAGTGCACCTGGGAAAGCAGTGGAAGTTGGCCCAAGTGTTTGGGCCCTTCTCACCCACACGGGGGACCTAAGAGTCCAGCTTGGCCCAGCCTTGGCTGTTGCAGTTATTTAGGGAACTAGCAGATGAACGCTCTCTTGCTGCCTGCCTTTCAAATAAATCAATCCTGAAAGAAGAAAAGGCAAACAGATTAATATACCAGGGGCACCTGGGCAAGGTGAACCAGACATTTAGTACATAAATGCTCCCATGGTCAAGCAGCACAAACCACCTGCCACACGCAGGGGATGGTTAGAGACACATGGTCTACTTGGATGCAGGCACTAGAGAGGATGAAGTCCCGAGCAGATCATTTCTAGATCTACGGTCTAGGATGAAAAAAGCAAGCTATACAAGAAAACAGCTTCTGGGTACTGCTTACTGGAGGAGTAAAAGAGCAATGCCATGTATTTTCTAAGGATGCGTGTGTGGGGGAAGACACAGCATGGCATACTTACATGCAAATGCATCAGGGAGAGAAAGAGAATGAGAGAGGGCACTGGAAAGTGGTTTACACCAACCTGACATTGTGGTTACTCAGGGGAGAGATGGGGTTAGGAGCCAGACCTGGAACACTTCGGCTTTATGTAAACCAGGGGCAGGGAATGTTTGGCCCGCAGGCGATTTAAAGCCAGTGAAAATCATGTGGGCTGGTCCTGCCAAGTCAGCTGCAGGTGGCACTCGAAACTAAATAAATTCATAGCAGGCTGATTTGTTCAAGTTGATAATTCTGCATGGCCTGCGAATGACCCCTGGCAGAATAAAGGTTCCCCACCCCTGAAACACCTGCTTATATAGATTTTTAAACAGTGAGCATGCATTCAGTTATTGCAAGTGTAAATCAGAGTTAAGAAACCAAACGATCAGTGGGTTAGATGATGCTGAAGGCCCCGCCAGCTCTAATACTCTCTGGTTCTAAAACTCAGCTGTGAAGTGGGAGAAGTTATCTTGCACACCACAGGAGCCAAGGAAAACACAACCCATCTAGTGAACATAAAGGTATTGGTTCTTCAAAACTCCAGAGTGCAAAACAAAAGTAAATAAAAACAAATGTGATAGCAATCATCATCCTCAGCATCGCAGGCTTCCAGAAACACTCCAGTTGGGCAGGTGGTAGCTGTGCAACTCCTGTAGCCTAGGGGCTGTGGCTGGGATTTTTAGCTAACCGTCAGCACTGGCAATTGCCACTCTGGCAGCAGCCCAGGCCCCAGGAAGACCCAGTTTCTCACTCAGGCCTCCCTTTTGAAACACGAGCTGTTAGGCTCACAGGGTGGAGACTATAAATATGCTGTTCCCCTCATATTGTTCTCACTCCTACAGACTTTGAGAAACTTCAACTCTGGGTCAGCCTAACTCTCCCCGCCTGGGGGGCAGAAAAGGGCTGATATTAAATGTGGCAGCAAGTAAAGGCAGCGCCTGTGAGCCAAACAGGGCTGGGTGGCTGTCTTACTGTACCCATGAACTTAGAGGTTTTGTACAACTGTTGGCAGAATCCAATAAGGGAGACAGTAGCAAAAGACCTAGAAATTTCTCAAGCATTCCCCAAGAGGAAATGCCTACAGCAACGGTTATAGAGCCAAACAAACAAACAAACAAACCATGGACCAGATAGATCCTTAAGAACTCCAATGACCTGTTGAATCTCTAGCATGACCCAAGAACAATAGGATGACACCTATAGTTCTTTCTTTGTTTCTGTACATACACTAAAAAAGTGAGGGAGGGGTCCTGGGCTTCTTTTGGGGATGAGAAAAATGGTCTGACACTGGATATAGACTGTCAAAATGATACTCAAAACTACTGAATAGGACCTTGTAAATGGGTAAATGGTACACTCCAGTGTATGATATACATTCCAGT